GGTGTAACTCATTTTTTTCACCTCCATGTGACATAGACCTCACCAGATTTGTTCAGAAATGCCCTCCAGAGATTTGAAAATACCCACTGTAAATTGTTTTGATAAAACTTAAAAAGTGCATTTTCTCTAAGTATTTCCTTAAGGGAGAGAAGACAACTTTCCAATGTATGAAGAGAACATGTCCAGATTGATGAAACTACTTATTTTACAAGGCATTTGAAAAGTCATTTTATGCTATGAGGTGGGGATAAATACTTGCACCAGATCCCATATAAAAACATCAGTCAGAATTCAATGTATATACAATAGTTCATATAGCATACATACAAACTGACATGTCTGTTATCTTAAGGTATCCTATCCAACTGAACCAGCTGAGAAGTAGCAAAATACATGTGCATGTTTGTCAAACCTTTTCAAAATTAAATCAGAAAATGCCTTGTGAAGCAACACTTCTTTGTATGCTCGACTGCATGTTTTTTAAACTGTGGAATAGCTATTAGATTTATTAAGCAGGTATTTGGCAAAAGCATTGATTGAGGTGAATTGAAGACTAGAGTAGTGTTGTTGTCATTTGAAAAAAGTAAAATTTATGTTTACTTTGGGACTGCCCAGATGTTCTTTTCCTGTCCTTCACATTCCTATATTCTTCTGAATGAAAATCTTTGACTTACTACTTCCCTAACTATTCTAGCAGGATAAATGTTGGTGTAACTTACAAAACACCACTTGCATGTGAATATTAACCTAACAGAGAAATAGAAAATTTCAGAACTTATCATATTACAAAGTCAATTTTTACAATTCACATACATTAACTGCACACGTTTAAATGCTGTTTCTGTGGGTTTACAATGCAAAATTACATTTGTATAGAGCCTTTCATATCAGGAGGATGACCCAAGGTGCTGGACAGTCAGGGATTTGCACCCAAGCAGTGGGGCTGTGATCAGGGAGGGTAGAGGGCAGGGAGGGTAGGAGGTTGTCCAAAGGCACGATTAAAGTGAAGGTTCTTGAGATATGCTTGAAGCTGAAGCCTGCTGAGCGGAGGAGCGGATAGATTGATCTGGGGTTAGCAGGTCACAGAGGTAGGAAGGAGCAAGGCCATGGAGGGCCTTGAAGGTGAGGATGAGGATTTTGAACTCTATTCTCTGGGGGATAAAAAGTTTAAAAAAGCCAGTGGAGCCGGGTGAGGTTGGGGGTAATGGGGTCATGAAGCCTGGTGTGGGAGGGGACATGAGCTGCAGAGGTCTGGATGATCCGCAGCTTGTGGAGGGAAGTGTTCAGAAGGCTGACAAGCAGGGATTTGGCATAGTCAAACCTAGATCTGATTTAGTTTTGTGCTAGTTATTTTGTGCCATTGCTTTGTAAATCACTATTAATATTATGATATCAAGTAATTCTTGGGCAGATTGTTTTTTTTTACCATTCAAAGTACAGGATACATAAATTTCACCAATACTAGTTCCACATACTTCATGAACATATAGTTTGTATTTCGGTGGAGCAGTTAAACCAAAGTCACGTCTGTCTTTCAGGTGGACGTTCAATATCTCATGGTACTATTCGAAGAGAATGGAGTTTCTGCTGGTGTCCTGGCCAACAATCCCTCAAAGAAAAAATTGGTCACTCAATTCATCCCTGTTTGCGGGCCATTGCTGTGTGCAACTGTACAACAACTGTACAATGTTGGGAGGACGTCCCAAGATGCTGAACAGTCGGGGATCAAGACCTGACAGTTAATCCACTTTATAATATATCCCATGAAGCACTTTGAGTCGTCTCAATGACGTGAAAGGCGCTATATCAAATGCAAGGATTATTATTATAGTTTATTCATTCCTTGCAATTGGGTTTAGTTGAGGGCATAAATGTTAATTATTATAAAAGTCTGAATTACAATAACTCACTAAACTGCAGCAGTTCAATAGATCGTAGATAAATGATAAATCATAATGAATGCTTGTTGGACCTTATTCCAGAATGTTTTACATTGGGAATAGGAGATTATTCCACTACTTAGCTGCATCATGTGATTCTTTCTGAGCCTTTTGTGCAATGGAACTCTAGAACATTCATTATAAAGACATTATTGTCCATCAAACTGACACTTGTGAGCGTGATGGATCCCTAATGCCCCTAATGTGACAGTATTGTTCCATATGCAGTATTTACATTATAAACATGTAATTTTAGTGTTAACAACAAACTCAAGGCAGCCCATTGATATTAAAATAAATTGGTCATGTTCTCACTTCATTGTTTGTTATTAGGAAATGATCGTCAAAGTTGGGGGGAGTGCTGTGATGTCAAAGATGCTGTTCTTCAGATGAAACATTAAATCAAGGCTCTATCTGCCTGTCCAGATCAATGTTAAAGATTCCATCAATCTATTTGAAATGAGAACACAGTTTGTTGTTGTGTACTGCCCAACAATCCTTCTGATCATTCAGTTGATGCCTTTTTGTGGAACATTCCTGTGCACAAATGTCTGGTACATTTGTCTACAAAAACACAGTCATTACATTTGCTAGTAAATTCTGTGAAAACTCCTCCTAACATGAAAATACGTATATCAAATATAATTATTATTATTAAAATTAGGCTCAAGTTCCACCTCGATTTATGCTAATGTTATCTTACTTATTAACTATTTGACACTCCGCTACATTAGCAATGTCGTTAAGCAGTGAACTCTAGATCAACAAGACTGACACTTCAATGCAGGTCTGGAGCAGCACTGCAATTTTAAAGAAGTTGTCGTTCAAATGAAACATTTAACTGAGGTTCTGTCTGTGTTCACGTGTGTTTTAAAGATCCTATGGAGCTTTCAAAAAGAAAAGAGAGCTTTTCCAAGTGTCCCAGCCAACAATCCTTTCTATAAATTTGGTCATTCACTTCATGGCTGTTTGCGAGACAGTGCAATGCACAAATTGGCTGCTGCATTTGCCTATAAAATACACAATTTATACACCTACACTTTACAATAAATCCTGTGAAGTATTTTCAGAATTTTTGATGACGTGCTATCTCAAATGCTAACATATTATCATCATAACCCTGTCCATTCTTCCATTTTTTTTGTGAAACAAAACTGTCAACAGAAGGATGAAAGCAAAACTTTTCCTTTCTGTGTACCCTACAACGCCGATCTTTTCATGTTTCCAATGCTGAAACATCATGCATCAGAATTCAATCTCATTCTCCTGGTAAATTATTTCACACTGCTCCACTATAAGCAATGTCTTGCAGTCACTGGAGTTCACAGATGAGTTTAGACTTAAAAATCTCACACAAGTACACAAGCTAGACCATATCAATAAAATAAACCAGTTATATTCCTAGTGTGTTCAAATATAGGTACTGAAATACAGCAAAATTATAGGATGTAGATGGTTTAAAGATAAGCATAAAGTAGTTGATATATATCTTTGCTCATTGATAGATTTAGGTTAATAATGCTTAGATTAGTTATAGTAAAATGTAGGAGAATGTTAAGACCAAGGAGTGAAATTTAGGATCAAAAGAAAATGAGACTCTTCACTAATCCGATTCTAACAATGACCTGTGTTTACTTTTCAGTGTTAAATACATATGTCTTTTGTTTAAAAGTGAACTCAAGTCACTCTCTAAAGAGTAATAATGATAACAATCCTTACATTTGACCTAGTGTTTCTCACATCGGCAGGACTTCTCAAAGTAATTTACCCGATTCGCTATGAAGTGTAGTGACTGTATAATTTTTGTAGATGAATGTGACAGCCAATTTACACAAAGCATTATCCCACAAACAACAATGAAGTGAATATACAATTTTATCTGAATGATTGTTGGCCAGAACACTAGGAGAAATTCCCTTCTCTTATCGAATAGTCCTATGGGATCTTTAACATCCCCCTGAACAGCCAGATGGGATCTCGGTTCAACGTCCATCTGAAGTATGGCACCTCCAACAATGCAGTACTCTTCCAGCACCATATTGGGGTATCAGCCTGGAATATGTGCGTTCAAAGTCCTGAAGTGGGTCTCAAAGCCGTAACCTTCTGACTCAAGAGTCGAGCGCAACCAAATGAGCCAGGCTGACATTGCACACCTATGATACCCTTTATAATGGTTACCTCTATTAAAGGTGAAGAGTCGTCCACTATCTAATCTGTCAATTCCTTTAATTATTTTAAATTAGTCAATCAAGTCCCCCCATCAAGTCATCCCATTGGAGTCCTGTATCTCAGTGGTTAGAGCACTGGCCTCACAAGCGAGAGACCTGGGTTCAATTCCCAGCAGGTTGAACCTTGGGCATGTTTCTTTACGCCACACGCCTGATAATAATGCCTCAAAAAAAATTGGTTACTTCAATCCAGTGTTTGTGGGACACTGCTGTACGCAATTGGCTGCTGCATTTTGCCTACAAATATAGTCAAATGACATTACAGTCTATTCTGTGAAGCACTTTGAGACATCTAGAAGACGTGATAAGGCGCTTTATCAAATGCAAGTATTATTATTATTTTACTTATAAACCTCCTCTGCTCGTAACAGCTCTGTAGTTAGCTATAAACCTCACCCAAAGTACAGACAGCACTGCCGTGACCTACGCTCCACCATGGGTGGCCGCGCTTTCAGCCACTACGCCCTGAAACCCTGGAACACTCTTCCTCTATCCCTCTGCCTTGCTCCTTCCCTCCCCATCTTCAGATCATGCCTGAAGACCTTCCTATTCGACCGTGCCCAGGGTCACCTCCCCCCGTCTCGATGTCGTGCTCCGCCACTGTCGAGCCTCTGGGTCACTGCCCTGGGGAGGGGGCGCTGTATAAACACAAGGAGGTGGTGGTGGTGTTGTTGTTGTTGTTGTGTAGAGGGACAAACTCTACAGACAAAGCCTTTTGCCCAGGGGCATTGTGGGAGTTGCAGCCGCTCCGTCCCGGAGGCGGTGACGTCACACCCGCCGACGACACCCGCCAGGACTACAACTCCCAGAAGCCAACGCGGGCTCTGCGCATGCTCACAGAGTGACTGCAACAATGGCTGCGTCCGTCATGTTGCTAAAGAGGAGCTGAGGCTCCCACATTCAATGGGTACGAGTTTTTTTTCCCCCCAAAATAATTGTAGGTTTGTCCCCAAACAACGCGGCTAAGCGTTGGATGGATGCAACCACTGCTCTGAGCTCACTTCATATTTCTTAAAAAGCATGCACGTTTCACACCAGAACCGGGGCCTCACCTTTTGAAAAGAAATGCCGTTGTGCTCATATCGTGAAGGAACACTTCTCCCGGCTCGAATTTATTGAGCGGCGACAGTGAGTAAGACTTAATAAGCGTGTGCGTGCATGTTGCAAAAGTTTTCCACTTCGTACTTGCATTTACTCCGCGCATTTCGGTATCAGGAAAGAATGCAACAGAAGCAACACAAAACAAAACTGCATTTCTTACAGTTGTCGGATTTTATTACTGGAAACCGGGGTGAAGGCAGATGTGAAGAGTTCGACTATAATGTGGAGTGCAGTAATGTTACAAATCGTATCTGCTGGTTTTATTTAGATTTCCCTTCGTGCTTGTAACACACTGCTCTTCAGCTGCAGTGATTTGTTTTGGTAAATCACGTGAAATTCCAGACGGCCAATCTGGCATGTGTACAACAGACCCGACACTGCAAGTCCCTGAGCTGCTGCAACACGACTCACTCACTGACTGTGTTTTCTTGTTTGTGAACTTAAGTGCGAACAAATCTAGTTTTGGTGGTTGGGGTGGGGGGGGGGGGAGAGAGAGAGGAGAGAATCAATAAAGTTAGTGGGCCACTGTTGACTGTGCAATCTGCAATAGGATTAGCGAAGGCATTTTATATTCTGAGCAAAAATTCTGCAGATTGCAGGAAGAAGGCGAATGCAACCTGGAATGTGCTGCCGGCTGACCTGTCAATCATTCTGGTTGTTAAGGCGGTGACGTCACGAAGGCCATGACATGACGTCTCCTTTTGCTGACCTCATAAAAGGGAGTTCCCTTGTGATGTCACAGTGGGGGGTGGGGGGGGGGGATTCCTCATTGTCTGAGGACAGCCCCAGTGATGGGGAATGATGGCAGGTTTACAGCACAGAGTGGCAGCCCCTACAGCCCATCTCCTCTCCATGGTTGGAATGAGTAACCTATTGGATAATAACTTTCTATTTCATTATTGGAATCAAGTATTGCTTTTGGAATCGAAATAAAGGATACCGTGCCTGACCTGGGACACCTTGTTGACACGGGGCATCAAAAATGGAGTCCTGTAGCTCAGTGGTGAGAGCGCTCGCCTTGCAAGCGAGACACCTGGGTTCGATTCCCGGCAGAGGGCGAAACCTTGGGCAAGTGTCCTCACTCCACACGCCTAATAATAATCCCTTCAAAACCCAAAACAATAATAAATTGGTCATTTTCAATCCACGACTGTTTGTGGGGACACTGCTGTGCGCAATTGGCTGCCGGGTTTCGCCCACAAATATACCGTCAATTCACTTTACAGCATATTCTGTGAAGCGCTTTGAGACGTCTAGAAGACGTGAAAAGCGCTTTATCAAATTCAAGGATTATTATAAATGGAAAAGTCTACTGCATTCACTACTGAAATAACATATATGAAAGCAAAAATTCATGTGACTTATTTATATTTATAAACTCAAGATGCACATAAAATAGGATAATATCTAAGAGTGGAGGTAGTGTTGACAAAGGCTGTGGCATGCTGTTTGGAGCAATAATGGAGTAGTGCAACTAATCTTTCCATCTGCAGTTTTTCCATTCTGAGCTGTGTCTTCTCAAGATGGTGTTAAACAGGGAGGCAAAGTTTCCCATGAGAAGGGAAGTGAGAATCTGTGACAATTCGACTTGCACTGCTCCTGGTACCTTCTAGCATTCAATTCAAAAGTGACATTGATGGAGAACTGTGAAGAGTCTGGAATTCCATGATCTTTATATACACAATGAGAAGTCCATTATTTGTATATATACAATAGGAGGCCATTCAGCCAGTCGAGGTTGCTCCATTTTCTTAGATCATGGTCAATCTGTTATTCTATATGATTTGCAGTGAGATATCCCTTTCTAGGCATATGCAGTATGAAGCACATTATCTGTATACATTTGGAGAGATGGGGAAAATATGCATTAAATCGAGTTGATTGGGATACATATTTAATTCTAAGTGCTATGACATTTAGACTACCAATTTCAAGTAACTGACTGTATCCTGATCAAACTGATCCATTATCATGTCGTTTGCCTTGACCAATTTTCTGCATAATAGTATGCCACTATAACTGTACTGTGGAAAAAGGATATGATCTAGAAACCAAGAAAGCAAAAACCTAGAAAAGGTTTCAAAATTAAAACCATTAACAGCCACAGCTTCAAAAGAGCAAGAGGAGCATGAAAATAATATAAATCATCAAAGCAAGGTTTTGTTCCATTTACAATGCACTGCGCTTGACATTGCATTATTTGTCTTTTGAAAGCTGGTCACAGGTGTTATAGCTGGTTCAACAAAACTGAGCAAAGAAAGAAAACTTATTATCAAAACTAATAAATCCTTCTTGGTGGTTAAGTGACATTTCAAGGAGTATAGTTGAGAAACAGTCTTCTACTTTAACTATTTTTTACTTCTCTTCAACAGTGGAGGTCCAGGCATTGTGAAGTAATTACAGGTTGTTCGGAACATTTGGAAACAGAAGCAAGGGAGCCACTGGGGCTGTTCCACCTATTACACAAAATATACAGTATAATCTGTGAAGCACTTTGAGACGTCGCAAAGATATGACAATAATAATAATATAATAATAATCCTTGCTTTTGATATAGCGCTTTTCATGTCTTCTAGTGAAAACCTTATCTTCTAGATAAGGTGATATATCAAATGCAAGGATTATTATTATATCTCGGCAGATTAATTCCAATCCCCCCAATTGTCTCTCTTTGAAACATCTCTATCGATTTCTTCTCTACAGCTTTCTGGGGTAGAGCAGCTTTCTGAGGTTTGACCAATACTGACCACCTAACTGGAAAAGCACCTCCCTGCTTTTATTGTGTAATAAATGTCAGCATCCCATTTGTAGATTTTAACAAAAAGGAAAATAAAACGTCATCTAGTTGCTGAAAAGATGATTCATTGTTTATAACTTTACATTTATGAAATATGACATAACTTTCAAACTGTTGGTTATTTATTTCAAAGCGTTGGATGAATTTAATTACATGATATAGTAGCTGATCTTTGACTACTTGATAATGTCATAATTGGATCCCTTGCGATTGCTGCCTTCTCATTTATAACAAAATGTCAATACCCCAGGTCCCCTGTGCTCTGCAATTTCCATGTTTCTTTTTGATAGATTTCGATTTGTCCTACATCCTAATCTGGATTTTTTTGGGCTTATTTTGAAGGTGACCCTGCTAGAAAGCAAGATTAAGAAAATGTTCTGCATCTACATGTAGCCCAGTTTTAGTCTATGTTTATTTGAGTATTATGAAGTGTGATGACAACACTGGATCTGCTATTTGCCTGTAAAATTAACAGACAAAGGAGAGACAATGTAGCATAATATTTTTGTTGTCCTACACATTTGTATTTGTTTACCTTTGTGAGAAACTGTGCTAATTGCTGAGTGTATGCTTGGCGCAATTGGCTCACTTCCAGGTCAGAAGGTTTTGGGTTCAAACACCGCATAGGGTTTTAAGCTCAGTCCAGGCTGATATGCTTTTGCAGTGGTGAGGCCGAGGGATGCTATTTTACAGATGAGTGGTCTTCTCTGTCACCTCCCGCTTGGATTATTCAAACGCACTCCTCCTCGTCATCTCCCCAGCTCCACTATTTAAGAGATCCAGCTCATTCAGAACTCTGCCGCCCGCATACTTACCTGGACCAAAACCATACCCACATCTCACCAGTTCTGGCCAGGCTTCACTGGCTCCCCATCACTGAACAGATCGACTTCAAGATCCTCACACTTGTGTTCAAATCCCTTCGCTCTCTGGCACCTCCCTACCTCCCCGACCTCCTCACTCCCCAATCCAAAACTCGGCGCCTCTGCTCGACTGGCACCGGCCTCCTGCTCGTCCCTTGCCCCACCATCGGAGGTTGCACTTTCAGCCACTATGCCCCGAAACTCTGGAACACTCTCCCTAAATCCCTCCGCCTTGCCCCCTCCCCTTTTTCAAGTCCTGCCTGAAAACCTTCCTCTTCGACCGTCATCTCCCTCCCCACCACCCTCTCTCGGCTTGGAGCCAGTCTCCGCCGCTTAAGCGCGCTGAGACGCTACCCTGTGTGGAGGGCACTATATAAGTGCAAGTTGTTGTTGCTCTCTATCTGTTCAGGTGGGAATTAAAGATTCCATTACACTATTTGTAAAGCTAATACTATTTTTCCAGTGTATGAGTCAACAGACCCCAAATGTAATTGGTTGTTTACCACATGGCTGTTTCTTTTTGGTGCAAATGGCTATAATGTTTGCTTACAACAGCTCATTACATTTGACAATCAAGCACTTTGGGATATTTCATTGTAATAAGGTGCTTATATAAAAATGCAATTTCTTTCTGATTGTTTAATTAAGTCTTACATTTAGAGGAATGTAGATCAGTGTTCTTAATAGATTTCTAAGAGAGAAGTACATGGACCCTTCAAATTATATTGCCTTTCATTGATGTATTTGATTATGTCTGCCGCACACAATACAGTTAACCATTTAGATTGGTAAAAAGTGTTCTTCAGCGAATTCTTTTGGACACGTGCAGAGAACAATCAACATGCCTAAGAGTGTCCAAACCAACCGGAGAGTTCCACGCATCCACCAACACATACTTTCCCCCAGAGAGTTGCACCCTGCTTATCTAATTCCAAAGAATTTTAACTGCAGGTTGGCAAGAGCTGAAGCTTGGGGATCCAAGAGTATCTGTTGGGGTACTGCTGGAGTTTAACCATCTAAAACTGCACATTTTGCCATTCAAAGCACTGTCTGGCAACCTTCCTGCTACTTATCCAACTTGGACCACGTTGGTGCTTTAGCTTGCAGGGTTAACAACAACTTGCACTTGTATAGCGCCCCTCACGCAGGGTAGCCTCTCAGGGCACCTAACGGTGGCGGAGCCTGACTCTTAGCCGGGGGTGGGGTGAGATGACTGTAAGAAAGGAAGGTTTCGAACAGGAGGTTAGTGGGTTGAATCCTTGCCCCCAGTGACCTGTCTGCACTATAAGTCCTGCCACTGGCTGGTCATCAATGTCCTGGAATACTACAGACCTGCTCGGCTCAGGAACCAGACTATTGAGACTGTT